ATAGGTTTTTCGTTTTTCAAAAACCTATAGGAAAGTCTATAGGTTTCCTATAAGAAATAGCTAAAGGTTTCCTATAGGACATTTCCGTAAGGGGCCGTCTCGTTATCTATTAACGCACCATTGGTTCCCTCTTTTCGGCTCAAAACTCCGTTGGCCAGGCTGTCATTTGTGCGGAAAGTAGAGGCCCGATATTCACCGGAGGTAATGCTGATATCACCCGTGCCATCGAGCATCTTAGCAGCATTGAATTCGGAAGTCAGCCAGAACAAAAAGCCTCCTTCCGCGTGCTGCATTTGCCTCTTTCGCGACAGGGCAATGGGTCCACGAGGAAGCGCTTTTGAAACAACGACCTTGAATGTAACGAATCAGGAATTAGAAGAAATCCTCTCGTTTTCTGCATCTGGGTCTTCCTCTCATCAGATCCGATCGATGCAATCTCAGACCTAACTGCGTATCTTTGTACGAGCTTTATATGCTACATTGTACAAATACGATACTTCGTAAAAAATACTATAATTTGTATTTAAAGTAAAAGATAATTTGACGAGTATCTTTGTACATATGGAGAACTGTCCACTCGTCACTGATTGCTAAGAATCTAGTGGGAAAATATTAAAATGTCAAAACGCAAGTAAGGAAATGAAAAATTTGCGATCTCAAACTTGGGCTGGCTAATTGTGTATCTGTCACGACTTTTCCTTCTTTCTCCATTGGACGTAATTCCGAATTATTAATTACCTATAAATTGTTAATTTAGTACAGTTACATGTTAGAGAACTTCATTACTTGCTGCTACCTGGCACGTACGGCAAAGAACACGAACACATGCCGGAAAATCGACACGCTTCCAAACCCTTTATTGGCACCAATTTGAACACATCAATATCCTCTGCAAAACTTTCCGTTCTGTGAAAGACGGAGAACATTTATTGCCAGAAGAGTGAGGATGGGTTGTTTGAAATCGGAGCGTCCCAGCATTATATTCACCGCACTACATTTTCTCACTGATTTTTAATCAGGTCGTTGTCCTCCGTTCAATTGTTGCGTTCGGCTACGCGATCGAATACGAGACATTCGTGGGTAATTCATTGGGGTCCAACTTGAATGCCTCCTCGACTTCCTCCACACGCAGGGGCCCAGTCACCACTAGTCTCTGGTACCCGAGCGCATCCATCACAGCCCCGCAATCCCGTTCGATTATGCTCATCTCCTTCTCTCCCAGATCCCGTTTCCAATGGTAGGGGTCGATCGTGGATACGTTCGTGTTCTTGGTATGATTCAGGCTTGAGGGTTCTGCACAGCAGGCCAAGATTCGTTTGTCTCCGTCTGATGGCCAGGGAATCCCCAGGAAACGGTAGAGATCGCGCGTGACCTGGATCGGATTCGACATGAATTCTTCATAGCTCACTCTCCGCCTTCTGTAATCGTGAAGAAATTAATGTTAGAAGCACATGCTAGAAATAATTTAATCTATGTTCATGTCTCCTATTTCTTCCCTTCGCGCTACATATGGTAAGTCTCATCCTTATTAGTTTCTCAAAATTTCTCTGTAAATTATTTGGAATACATGAACCAGAAATTTCAGGTCTTCTTGAACTTCAAAATCAGTCGACCAGATCATAATTCCCGGCAATAAATTTGAAAACCACAGAACACTTGGACAAGAAAGAAACCTTTAGTCTGAATTTAAAAAGTGGTTTTATAGGTGAGCAATGCTGGAGTTGAAAAGAATAACCAAGCCCGTTCAATGGAATGAACTTATCTTCGGTTCCGTCCGCGACAAGAATGACTACAGTACTCGACCATGTATTTTCAAAACCTCAGAAGTGAGTGCCGTTCTGAAGGAAGGAAATGCGAAGGTCAATTTTTGCAGGGATCGCACAAATGCAGGTTCCTTTCAAACTCGTAGAATGCAATAAAAGAGCGAGGTTGCCATTCGGTATCTCATTAGCAGCCTTCATAAAGGGTCAATTAATTTTTCTGTCTTGAACTCTGTCTGTGACGCCACCTTAAATTGAATACCAATCAACTTTACACAATAAGAAAAAGCAAGATGCTTGAGTTTCGGGAGTGAGAGCTTAGCTATTTTAATTGATGGAAAGAGAGGAATCTAGTGAGCCCTGAACTTGAAATAGCCTAAAGCTGCAGCCATGAGTACTTGAAAAGTTAGATTCGAGTAAAGTACGGGGGTTTTAATACAACAGCGCAACATGCTCGTCAGAGAAGGATACCATTCTCTTATTTTCAATTGTCAGTAATAAATTTGGCATTTTAATGAATGTGTTGCCATGTTTGCTATAGCTGGCAATGCTTCCCTTATGATGAAAATTTACTCCAAGTTATTAATAAATAAAAAAGAAACTGGAGATTCTACAAAACTCAAATTTCGGTAAGATATTTGTTCTTTTTTTTATCCCGATGAAATGACTTTACCGATTGGGGGGAAGACTGTCGATGGCGAGTATGTCGTGCCCAATATGATTGCATAGCGCCCAGGGATCCATCTGAAAGCCGTTCAGCAACGACGTGGGCATTCTGGAATTGATTATACCGCGAGGGTCTCGAAGCCAGTGGACAACCTGAAAGAGGAGGTCGGGGATGATTCGTAATGTCTTTTTAAACATCGTCTCTTTCTGGTTCTCTGAAGATATTTTTATTCCCTCAAGCCTTTTTGCAGTATCCCGTACGAGCGACGTTTTTTTTCCATGGGTAAATATAAATTTCCACAGCCTTTTAAACACCGGGTTGAGGGATTAAGTTGCTAAGTGATATCGCAGCGCAATCTCGTCATTGTTGAAAGTTACCACCCTGCGACATAGTTGAGGTAAATTCCAGACTTGAACGAGAATTGGGTATTAAAAAATTTGAAGCGGTTTGCTGCACGAGTCCGCACCTTGATATCCTCCCTCGATCTCAGCCATGCCAAGGCGTGGTGGTCGAGCTGCAAGCGAATCACCTTCGCCACTTGCGGCATGTTTGAGTCGT